AGGCTTTTATGTTTTAAAGAATTTCTGTGTAACATACAGAAGGAAACGAAATAGGCGCATAGTTCCTTTTGATGATTTTAGTAGAACGATTTATGCATGTCCGACGCCTCTGCGCTTGTCTATGTCTTTTTATAAACCAGGTAAAGGCCTCATTAATTGTCCGATTGAGACGAAATTTTCAACAAATCTTTTATTTGGCCTTATGACGAACTCTATTGAAAATGATGAGAAGATCGTCCGATTTCATTTTTTTGTGCGCCATATGCGTAATAAAGGGTAAGATGTCTGGAGTATTTTGGAAAGCAAGGTTGGCACTAATAAAAATATAGAAGTGTCGATCACCTCAAGCAAGCGCTTCGCCGGGAATGGGCCAAAATACTGCTGCAACATTCGGGCAGCGTGCGACGGTTTCATTGGCCGTTTGCAGGCCATAATTTGTGCCAAAGGTGACCAATTCGAAAAAATCTACACTCATTCTAAAATTTGATGCTATTCCCGACATTTTTTGCTTTTAATTAATAAATATTTAAAAAAAAATGTAAAAAGAATGGCGCTTGACTTTGTTGTATTTTTTTTATCTCACCCTGTATATATCAAGTCCATACATAAACTACTCCGGTAAGCCGAATATTGAGAAACATGGCTCGACTGGGAGTAACTCTATTAATCACTACACGTTCGAGTTGTTCATTCTTCTCTAAGTCTATGATCAATATGGAATAATGGCACGACCACATCGACAAACGCTTCATGCACGCATACTTGAATCGCACATCTACGAAAATTTCAATTTGAATTGAACTTCTGTCAGAAAAAAAGGAAGCAGTGCAGAAGGCCGATATAATTTTAAAACTATTCTGTGTTGCAATAATTCTGGGTATCTTGAATATCTTCTCTCGGCCTTCCTTTGGGGACTGATGATTTCTTAAAAATAACCATAGTGTTCCATTTTTCAGGTAATCATACTTTTGTGGAATTGCCACGGCTCATACGCTATAACAAACATGGCACTTCCTTCCACGTCCATCTCCCGCAGTGTTGACAAATGGAAAGCGAAACAACACCTCTAAATTGTCATAACCTGTGTATGGGTGACCGTGCCACTTCTTATGAACAATTCCGATTGTTTTCACTCCATTTGCCATCATTCAAGATAAACTGTGGACATTTCAACACCATTTATAAATTCTCAGTTTTCTTTGCTCTCCAGACGGATGGACAGACGAACGGGCGGACAGGCGGCAGGCATCCATTTCTTGGTTAAAAGCAAATATTTCTCACGGGTCACCGACAAAACAGCCGGGGTAACAAACAATCCAGCGACAGCCGAAAGAAAAACAGTCGGTGAAAGTGGAAACGGAAACATGGGTAAACGCTGCTTCCTAATACTCTTGTCTGCTGGAGGCCATACAGCAGGCAGTCGGTGGGCGAAAGGAAATCTACAGAAATGGTAGGCGAAGGATTTATTTGTCAACAAACTGTCAACATGAAATGCTGAATCTATACACAACGAACGAACAAAAGTGACAAAAAAGAATCGCGCAAAGCGCTCAAATGGATTGAGTGGGTGGATATACCCTTCTATTCAGAGATATTTATGCTGACATATGTACGCTTGTGGGGAATGTGACTGCTGACCATAATTTGTCATAATTTTTTTCTTCTTTTTTTTCGCCCTTGGATTTTTTGTTTTGTTTTGAAAATTGAGGAGGATGGCTAAGCAATTGATTCCGGGAAGAGTACACAATGAATAATCGTTAAGTGAGTACTGCTAGACGGCTTTAAAAGGATTTCTAAGGCAACCAATGAAAGAGTTTTATTTTGGGGGAGGGAGATGTAATAAATAATCTTAACATTTTCTGGGAGTTTTATGTGGGAAATATTTTGTCATAGACTGCTTAAATTGTTGAAAGCCCGATATTGGCAAATGTCAAATAATACGTCTAATAGTCGATTTTAGAGTAAGAATTTCTTTTTAATTAATTGTGTAGCAAATGATTAACATCAGTCCAAATGACCTGAATTTTGGCACATACTTCTAGAATTCAGTCTAGAAGCAAGTACATAAAATTTGGAGAAAATCGGTTCCGATATAGCAACATATCCCGTATATATGTTTCATACGATTTGGGGTTTAAAGTCCCTCATATGCGTAATATGCACTCCACAAGAATAATATTTGGTACCAGATAAATTATGGAGCTTAAAAATACTTAATAAATAATAGGTACCAGAAGGGGTTCGCAGTGTCACCTCACAACAGATATTTTGTTAGCAAACATGTTGGTATGAGTGAAATTTGTTTTTCAAAATATTGAACCCTATGTGGGCGAGGTACCAAAAGAAATGGTCCACTACCAGAAGGAGTGGACCGATATATCCCATATTTGCACCAGACCTTGGGTCAATAAAAATATTGTGATGTGTATAATTTGAGGAAAATTGGATGCTTATTTCGGATTTTATGATCGTTTTGCTTTTCAATACTTTGACACTTTGTGGGGGAGGTCCCAGAAGTAATGGTCCGATCTCTAAAAACTTTATAACAGATCTTGTGTTGATCGAAATAGTGAGATGTGCCAAGTCTGAATAGAATCAGATGTTAATTTCGTGCTTTATAAGCTTCATGAATATTCAAAATGTTTGCCCTTTGTGGGGGAGGTGCCAGAAGGAGTGCACCGATATTGCTCATCTCCGAACTCGATCTAATTTTGAAAAAAATATTACAAATCGGATACTCCCTTCGAGGGTTATCGTGCGCACCAGCCAGACAGACAGACAGACGGACGGACGAAAATCGCTAGACCGACTCAAAATGACCTGAAACGGATTTGGTTTAAAGAGACCTAGGACCTAAAACCGTTACTTCGATGAGGCACATACTATCATTTATGGACCTATATTCCTGATTTTTATACCAACCTAAATTTGATACACATGTTGACGAACATTTTGACAATTTATGGAGGAGGTACCAAAAAAAGTGGACGATATATTCTATCTTCAACATAGATCTTATATGGTCAAAAATATTGGGAAGTGCAAAGTTTGATTAAATAATTAGTTTGACCCTGTATGATGGAGGTGCATGAAGGAGTGTGCCGATAGTGTCAATTTTCTTTCGAACTAAATGGATCCGACTGCTGACCGAAATTTATATTGACTGGTCGACTTTCTGCCGGATAAAAGTCTGAAGGCTAACCTATTTTCGAACTGATGTCTGGCCAAATCGCACGGATATCCATGAAATTCGGAAGGGAAATAAATGCTGTCGGATCGAACTCAGAAGTAATAGTGTCTTTACACACTTATTGTAAAACGATTTTTACCCCGACGCTCAGGAGTTTTGGACGTCCGACATTTAGTTCGCTGTGTGATTGAATGTGCTTTGAAATTTTTGTTACATATTTTTAGCATATTTTTAGGAGGACTAAAAATGTTGAAAATAGTCAAATTTAAATGGCGATATTAATGAGAGACAAGTTCGGCGAACATTTTATTTTACATTCGGGGCCTGTTAATTGGCCGTCTAGATCGTGCGATTTAACGCCATATTTTGAAGAGCTACGTTAAAGCCCACCTCTATGCAGACGAGCCCCTTTCGATTGGCGCATTGGAAGACAACATTGAAGCATTTATTTGGCAAATGTTGGAAGGAGTATGCCAAAATTGGACTAAGAGGATGGACCATTTGAGGCGCAGTCGTGGTAAACATTTGAGTGAAATAATTCTCAAGAATTAAATTATATGGACCGTACTATTCAAATAAAGATTTGAAGCATTTTACTGAAAATATCACATTTTATTATGATTGGTCAACTACCAGGGTTAATCTGGATATAGATTTCTACGTAATCGTAGTTTAAGCAAAATTGTGCACAAAGATAGCTGACAATATATTTGAAGTGAACAAAATACATTTAGTTATAATAGTTTCATTTATTTGGGCTTAAAAATAAAAAGTGCCGACTACTGGGACATGCCGAACTTAGGCACACTTACCCTACTAGTTTTATTATTGTTACATTAAAACAAAATCTAGTTCAAAGATGTTTTTAAAACTAATGTAGTACAAAAGTTCTCCCCCATTTCCAACATTATAGAACGAGACAATTTCAAAAAAGGATTGGACAGCAAAAAAACAAAATTAAAATTTTAAACGACAAAACAAAAACAAACACACACTGTTGACCTTGTCCTTTGTCATTTGGATTCGCTGTTTACATTCCTTGTTAAAATTAATTGATGCGTTATGTTTAATTAAATCCACAAAAAGTGTTACGCTCCACTGCTCTTCGTGGCCAAGAAAAACTCGACTACTTGCCAAGAAACTTAATGAAACAATGGAAAATAAATAAAAAAAAGGAGAAATAATAGGAGGAACTTCCCTAACAAGTGAAAATAAAAGTAATTCCCAGCGACAGACGAGAAAAAGAAAGAAGAAGAACAAGAACAAGAGTACAATGGCCAAAACGGAAAGACGATATACGATGCTCCTTGCACTGCTACATGTCCGTGGACATGAAGTACAAACATCTTGTTCACTGACTCGTATTTTATTCCAACTGATTTTTGACTACAAGAACTGAGTTTCATTTCAATTTCTTTTCGTTTGTGCTTTGGCAAATGCGATTTGAAGGCATTACAAAGTACTTGCACCAGTAGTTTTGCCAGTGTACGCACACTAACAGCAAGTGGCACTTAGATAGAGTGGGGGTTAAATATATTGGGCGCCAATAGTAGTTTAACAACTTTATTTCAAATCAATTGACGCTATGTTGGTGTTGGTAATGTTAACATCACGCCTGCCATCAGCGATCGACCCAAATGTCTCTAACAAGACAAGTAAAGTTTTAAAGTTTGTCGTTTTTTTCCTCTTCTTCTTCTTCTTCTTCTTCTTCTTCTTCGTCGTCGTAGTAGTGGGTGCCATGTTATATTTCACTACAACTTTGGGTGGCTAGGAAGGAGTATTGGGATATCGCAGTAGATACGTTACTTACCTTCAAACTTTTCATATGCAGCGAAGCTTAACTTCTCGGGCACAAATGATGAACGTCTCAAGCCGTTACTTTCGTATGGTCCCGCCATGCCACAGTAGCTATCGCCGTTATTGATTTTGCTGGCACTGCCAGCCGCAGCCTTTTCCGCCGTAAACGAGGCCACTTTTTTGAGGACATTGTTGCGTGGCGTGCACGGCGGCAGAGGCGATCCCATTTGGCTTGTTGCCCCAATAATGCTACTCGATAGAGACACCGTCGCTGGCATTGTTGTTGGCTCGGCATTATCGTTATTGTTCGATGGCGTTGGCGGCAGTTCATGGGAGAATGTCGTGTCGTCGGGCGGCGTGGGCGGTGCATTGACACCTGGAAACGCTGTTTGAGATAGAACAGGTGTTTGGGATGATTTAAATGAAATTATAACGGTTGATTGCGTTTCTGTGGAATGGGTTGGAGTGCCGGTTGCAGCAAGGCCACCTATTTGCGTTGTGTTCGACGAGTGGAGTGACGACAGCGAGGGTGTCGACGAGGACGAGTGTAAACTTGGCAAATGTTTGGCATCCGTTGAAGCTGAAAAAGTAAAGAAGAGTTTTGTGAATTTCTCTGTTTCTTCGTTTAATTTAGCCAAAATAAAGGAATCTGAATGGTGTGTTCCTTCCTAATTGTTGTTAGCACAATGGTAATTCAGACGACAATTGGTAAATTACCTAATCAAAAATATTTCCATTTCTTTTGAGAGCAGAATGTCAAAGTTTGACAAACATAATGGAAAGGAATTTGTAATGGCTATTTGTTGTTGTTTTTGTTGTTGTTGTTATGGTAATCATTTGTTTTGAAAAGTATGAAGAATTTGAGTTTTGGAAAGAGAGTGGGAAAATTTGTTTGCATAAAATATAAATAGATATGAAATTCAAAATTGGCATGGTTTTCGTTCGAATCAAGTTTAGACCTCTTAAATGGAAAACAAAATAATACTTGGTTGAAATTCCCAAAATATAGCAATAAAAAATCAAAAATAACAAAATCCAATTGTCGCACTAATAATATTACTAGTTTTTTTTAAAGCGACAAACCCTGTTGAAGTAATAGGTTGGTGACCCGATTTGTAATGAATTTTTGGCGGGTAGGGTTAACTAATGTTTTTTTGCAATTTTTTCCATATTTCCTGTATCCTGAATTAATGATTTGATAGAATGATAAAAAGTAGGATAATCGATTCGACCTTATGAGAGAGTTCCATTAGGCCTTCATACTATTCAACAAGTAAAATATGTATATCTTATTTACGATACGAAATGTTTCCAAATCCACTCCATAGAGGGTCAACAGTTTCAAAATTCATAACAGAAGTCAAAATATTTTAAAATTATCGAACATTGACTGAGGGTATACAACTGCCGGCAAAACCGACCGATACTTTTTTACTTGTTGAATAGTATAAAGGCCTATGCAAAAATTGCCTCGAAGAAAATCGAACATTTATATCCAATTTATGGGAAATCATCAATTCCATATTCTTCTCAGAACTCTGGATGAGAGACATATCTTTAGATATAGCAAATTGAAAAGAATCGCTGAGTTGTTTCGCAATTTATAACAGATGAAAGTATTGAGAACTTTTGTCCCTTTGTGGGTGAGGTACCAAAAGGGGTTCGCAGATACATAGCATCTTCACAACAGATCTTGTGTTAGCAAAACTGTTACCAAGTTACCAGTAGGAGTGGACCGATATTGCCCATCTCCGAACTCGATCTAAGTTTGACAAAAATATTACGATTTACCAAGTTTGGAACAAATCGGGTACTCCCTTCGAGAGTTATCGTGCGCACCAGCCAGACAGACAGACAGACGGACGGACGGACATCGCTAGATCGACTCCAAATGTTCTGAAACGGATTTGGTCCAAAGATACCTAGGGTCTAAAGCCGTTATTTCGACTAAGCACGTAGTCATATGGCTGAGGTTGAAAAATGAAACATTTCCGGTGAATAACGTCCTCGTATAGCTTTGTGGGATCTAAAATGTATATTTCGAGGTGTTACAAACATAATAGCAAACTTAATATACCGTCCATACTATCATATATTTGTTCTTTTCTGGCAGACAGGACGGAGTTGCACTGAGACTTTTTTCGGACTTTATACTGATGCGAGAACATCGAGGAGCGTACGCGCTCTATTCATGTAGGAAATTTATAGGGGAGAGTTGGGAGCTTAGACCACAAGTCGTACACAGGATGTTCTGACATATGGGTGTCTGGTCTGGTGGTCGCTTATGTCCAAACCACAGTGCAAAGAGTCACGACTTTACTAATAAATGGAGTTCTCAAGAACACCTCTCTGTCCGCCATGAAAGTGATGATAAACATCCAGTCTTTGGATCTATTGGACCAGTTTCTATTGGAATCAGGATGATAGCACTTTTCGCGATTTGGTCATGCACTAATCCTGGTCTTATCTACAAATCGGCATATTTTAGATGAAGATGATAAAACTAGTGATCGCATGTCCACCTTTTTCGACTTCAACTTCATTAATTTAACTATAGTCGATAGAAACGCTTGAGCTGTTGGTAAATGGATGGATGGAGATTCCCGCACTTAGCCGAAATGGTAAGAGAAGTTATGGCATAACAGGACCAGTGGCTATATATGTAGATAATTAGGCGGCCTTCAAAGCCATCACATCAAATGTCATCAAATCGAGAGCCATTATTGACTGCAAGAAATCTCATTTAGAGATACGTGAACTTACTAAGCTTTGTTGGGCCCCAGGACATAGCAATACAGTGAGGAATGGTTAACGAGTTAGCTCGAGGTGATTCCCAGTCGATTTATTTAGCGGTTGAAGATATATGAACACTAGATGGGATAACGTGGTCCCTACTGTAGACTACGTGAGGACGAAGAAGAGGTAGACACGATTGAACATCCACTACGCAAATAGGTAGGTGAGAGATAGAAATTCTAATGCTCTTCTCAGACGTAGATCCCATTAGGATATAGGCTATCCGGTAGGTGGGACATATAAACACTAATATTCTTCTCAGACGTAGATCCCATTATCATTCACAGGTTTGCTACTGGCATATCATGGATAGACAAGCCTTCGTATGACTAGATATCTGTATATCTTCTTTCTTTCCAAACTTATGTCTTTCCTATCATAACGAATTCTCTTTAGAACAAATACAAAGGACCAATGGTCTTCGAGTGGCTGCGCATCCTGAAACCTAATCGTAACTTCAGTTCTAATCCCGTCTTGTTTGACCCATTCGTTATGTCTTTTTTGTGACGCATTTTTGTTTATGTCGCCGTGGCGCCCAAATGTATTTAGTTTGGAAAAATATTACTAATATTACAATTGATACATGGATCGCTTTTGTAGGCATACATTCATACATGACATACATATTTTTCTCAGTTTTCTGTCTTACCACAGAGTTTTTCGCATAATTCACGTACAATGTCAACTATATTTTTATTAAATATTATATTTTTTGTGTTATAAAAGTACGTATATTTAAGCTTAAGGACAAAAATAGCTTTAATATGTGCATATATTATTTTTAATTTTATTATTAAAAGAATTTTGTTTTTTTGTCGACCAATCCATTACACCCCTTAAGTACTTGAATTTCCATGTTTTCCTTCTTGCCCTTGTCGACATAAACATTCTATTGTTGGAAAAGACAAAACAAAGGATGATGAAACGATGCGTTATAAGTCAAATGTACCCTTCGTTTTTTATTGGAAATTCTACCCTTCCGAGTGTTTTGTTTTTCTTTTTTTTCTGTTGTTTGCTAAAATAAAGTGGGAAATTAAATTATGCACGTGTTAATTAAGAAGACAATGTTCGAAATGGGTCAATGAATTTGAATGGGGACGACAGTGGAAGGTGTTCGCAAGAAAGATTTCTTTGACAACCATTCATAACCGCTATTATATTGAATTACCTTCATTAAGTAGTCGTTCCCATCGAGTCCCATCTCCAAGATAAAGTTGCCGGTAATTTAATTTCTTTCTCTTTCACGAATTTCCATTGAATCGGATTGAGGAAGGAAAACATGAAAAAAAGGATGTTAACCGCAATTTGCCAAAAGTGGGAGAAGGTGGAGGAGAAGGAAAAAAGGAGTGAAGATGATTTTTTAACTCTAATTTTTGACTCTGTCATAAATTCAATTCAATTATGCAACATGCCATAGACGTTAGACCTTCCAGGAAGTTTTTGTTTTAACCAACATTAATTGACATTTTTGTACCAAAAATAATTCAAAACATATTATCGGCGACTATGGGTGATGAAGCTTAAGAGGCAAAGCGACAACGCCTTATTTGTTTAAGAAATTCAAAATACTTGACAAGGAAATAATAAATCTGATTTATATTGCAAATATCTTAAAATCCAGGTAGCGTAATTTAATTACAACTAAATGACCTTTGAGGAGATGACATTAAAAAAATTATTTTCAATTAAGCAAAAAAATCTTTGAAGGGTAAAATAGAGTTCAGGATATTTCAGCTAGAGATCTCGGAAATCACTAAATTCAAAAAAATGGAAGTAGTAGATTTCTTTTGCCAACAAGAAGTATCGATTGCTATTTGACATAAGCGTATCTGGACCAACTTTTCCTCAGTAGCATAAAATAAAGCTTATGCTCCAAATCACACGGATTCAGCTATTGCGATACATTGTAATGGGATGTTCAGCCCAAAGTATTTTTCATTCAAAATTCTTCTTAACTTTCATTTCGTGAAGCTTCAGATTTACAAAAATTACAAAGCATCTAGGATTTATTTACACACCAATGCGAGTGAAAACATTTTTAACCTACCTTCTACGTTATCAAAAAACAGGTGTCTGTTCTATGTTTTGTCTGCCATTACAAGCCACATTAACAATTTCCATAGTCTAGTGGTACACGTGCACTTTGTTGCCAATTCATTTAAGGGTCATTTATTCTGGCAGACTACCAGCGAGCTAAATATTTTTCAATCTCCTGGGCCTTTCGTGAAAGTATAAATTTTTTGAAAACTGCAAACAAATTTTGATGGCTTTGAAGTGAATTTGTTATTGTTTTATATAATTTGTTTTATTGTTATTGTTGTTATCATTTTCATTTCTTTTGTTCTTGGCAAAATTTTATTTTCCTAAATGGCCATTAAGTGGGTTGGCGGTGTGATGAAAAGGTGCGAGACATTGAGATAAAAAGAAAGGAATTTATGTCATTAGATTGGTTGAGCAGTCAGTGGCGCCCGACGTTAATGGCCAATTTCAATTATTTATGTGCTCAGCGCTCAGTAAGCTGTCTTTATGGAGAGGTGACACAGGTGAGTTGATAACTATCTGTTAGACAAAAGACTGTCATTTTAGTATTTTATGACTTTTTTATATAAGGAAGGGTATGTCGTGTTGGATTAGAGCACTGGACACTAGCATAACTCAACTTTTATCTAAAATTGCATATTAGGTAGACCATAGGAACTGGACCGAATGCATCGATGTTTCTTAAAACATCTAAAGTCAAAATCAGGACTACGATTGTTATTTTAGTTCCAAGGTGAAAATGCA